TATTTCCCATAGCTTCCAAAAACCAGTGTGAAAGGACACTCTGCAGTGGACAATCTTCTTAAAGATAAAATGTGAAAGTACAAACTGTTTGATTAGAATTCAGCTGGCTGGCACAATCTCTGATGTGTCATAGGGTTGGGGAATTTTTGTAATATGAATATAATTTGGTATCAGCCTTGCAGCAGAGTTTCCCAGCTGGTTTGCCTGACCGAATTTAAAACCTGACCTCGGCTAATGCTTCCTCCCCCAGGAGTGGCAGTGTACAGTCCCCGCTGTTCTTGACCCTTCCAGCTCCTATTTCCAGGTGGCTTACCTGATCTCTGGTGGTGTGCAATACTCTACACCATTTACCAGCTACACCATCTCCCACTCAGTTTCTACTTGATCTTCTGCAGTGCCTCACCTATGACAAACAGCAATTCTTTCCCTCCTCGGGGGAAATTATGCCTTGGAACTTGGCCCTCTATCTGAAGCACACTAAATGCTTCTTTGAAACCACGGCTGTTACTGGCAGCCAGCTCGCTGTTACAGCACGGCTGCCAGCCCGGCTCGGGCGGCTCCTGCAAGCCGCATGCGGTGGAAGCCCGGCGGCAGGGCAGAGGGAGCTGGGCTCCGCTCCCGGGATCGGTGCGCTCTGTGCACCCCCGTGCGGCACCGGCAGCGAGCCGTGCCGCGGGAATCCCGGCTCGGGGCTGCCGGCTCCGCTCGGCCGAGCTCCGGGACACGCGGGGAACCCGGACCCCGAGAGCCCCCAAACCGCGGCGGGGCAGCACTGCGCAGTGCCAGGCTGGGAATTGTGGGAATCCAGAGCTTCCCTCTGGCTGCCCTGGATTGCCTGGGACCCCTGCAGGGGGTCAGGAACCCCCCTGTGCAGAGCCCCGAGAGACACTGTCTCTGATCTCTATCCATGGAAAAGAGTTTTCAATCTTACAGGATGAATTACAAGCTCTGAGTGTTTGATATGAGTAATAATTAAGTGTGGCACGGGTGCAAAAGTAAAATTTTAGGATTCTAGAGTAGGGGTTCAGAGGGGACAAGATGGAGGAAATTGGGTGTGTCTTGTCCTTTTCCTCCTTCTTCATGCCCTCCATGTTTCACTGTAGTGTTGGCATTTTTCTCTTGGTTTAGGCTGGGGACACACTGTTCAACGTAGATGATAGATATTGGCACATTATTGTAAATATAGCACACGTAGTTTCTGGTATATAATGTTTGTACCATCCCACTGGGGGCAGAGCCCCGCACGCTGCCCTGCAGGACAGACCTGCGGCAGGGCAGCAGAACATGTTAGAGATAAGCAAGAATAAACAACCTTGAAAACAGCACAGACGAATTATGGCTTCTTCTTTGGCAACGGGGCAGAAAGACAGACTTTTTACAATCTCGGAATCATCAATACCCACAGATTCCGACAGGGAATAAAGAGCCCCAGCAACTGCGCTGTGACCTTACAGGCCTTCAAACTAAGAGCAGTCAGGCCCTGCCCCCTGCTAAGTCTCTAAGAGTAGGCTAAGTATGGATGATCAATATTTTAGGGGATATAAAAGACACTTCACTCATGTAGCCCCCCCCCCCAAAAGCATTGTGTATTATTAACTGGTGTTTTTCACTTGCATGCAGCAATAACAGAAGTGCCTCACATATTTTAGCAGAATATAACAACATTTTTTTTCCCCACGTGTTGTCCTAATGGGCCAGGAACTTTTCTCAGAATGGCACAGATGTTCTGCATTATTTCCTATTTTTTAAACTGCTTAATATGTTGCTCTGATAATGGACTGCTTATTTGGGATTTACAACTCTATAATGGAAAATGTGTATGCTAGAAACATAGAGTCCAGTGGGATGAGTGGTACACAAACAGTGCCTGTGTGCAAAAGAGGAACAATTACAGAATTTGTATCAAAGCAGTTAATTTATTTGAGTAAAATTCATTATCAGTTCATTATAAACACCTTTGGAATAGCAAAGTAAAAAATACCTAGATGCTCAATATCTGTGTACACATTACTCAGATGTATCTCCATGCTGAATAAGAAAGTAGACTGTAATTAAGTTAGAAGATGACATTTCTTAATGTTTTCCAGATTTTGTTGTTATGAAAAATTCCTTTCTGAACTTCCTGCATTGCTCTGAAAATGATACAGTATGGTTCTTGAAGAGTTAAAAAGCTAAAGTACGTTCTGATTATTCATTTGGTTACTGTATGTTAAGGCAGGATAACCTAAAAGCAGATAGCTAGTTGTAATACACACAGGTGCCAAAGACTGGCCTACCATTGCCTGTTCAGCTTAATTCTCATAAAATATGAATGGAGCCTTCTCACATAGCTTATCTTCCAGTATTGTAGCACATCTGACTAAAAGGCAGACTCCTTTTCCCTAAAACTGACATCTCAGTAGACCATTTGCAAATGGTGCACATTGAATGACCACTCAACAATGCTTTTGGCTTCTACAGGTAGGAGGAGATGTTATGAAATATAATAATGGGCTATGAAGGCCTCTCTTGGAAAAAGGAAACCCTACTGGATAAAATTTATAGCTTACTTTCAAACATAAATCTGAGAGTTGAGCGATCTTCCCCAAAACTTCAATAGCAATTTCTACTGTACTTTGTTCTTGCATATTTCAGGCTGCTACATAAATACTAACAAACTATTGCTATGGCACCTCACAACACTGTGTTTGGTCTCTTTACAACTTTCATATTATAAGCTAGAAATGCAGAAGATGAAAAAGAGGGAAGTCAGAATCTCTCCCTGTGGGTCTGTGTGATCCAAAGATACCGAGGGTTGCTGATCAGCCGAAAGAAGGTACAGGCCTGAAGCAGGATGTTCAGAGCTGGGATTAAAGGCAACACTTTCTCTTCTATGGCAAAATCTGGAGCGAAGGACAGGCTCAAAGGAACCTAATCCCTGACTAAGCACATGAGGGGCCCTGGTAGCCCCAGCTGGTACAGCAGCAAGCTGAGCACTTCCAGCTCTTATCAGGAAGACACCTATATGTGACCATCCTGCTTTATGAGATCCAGTTTTAGCTTATTATACAAACTGACAGCAAAATAGTCTCTGCACTAAAACTAATTATGAAGGAAATCTGAGCTGCTATCAGACATCTCATGTTTCTGTTTTTCTGCACTTACCTTTTTCTCTCTCTACATCACAATACAATGAGCAAGAATTCAGTTAATTGGTTTTATGTATTCATTTTCTCCCTCACAACTCACATGTTTCAAAATTCACCATGGAGTACTTTACAAGGAGAAAAGAGAATTGGGACAAAAATGGAGAGGGTCAGAAGGAAAAAACACTAATAAGTGATCTCCTCTTATTATAACAGATTATTTATCTTTATATTATTTTTTACTTTTATGCAGAGCAAAGAGTGCATCATGTTGTTTCTCTGGATTATGCAGATTCTGAGTTTTAAAATACCCCCTATGACAGTTGACAGTAAAAAAAACCCACAACCAGACAACAACAATACATTTTATCAGGTCTCAATCACAGCACAATTTTTTTTTTTTTTAAGAAAAGTTACCCTTTAAGCCCCTTTATAGAAAAAAACAAAATTGAGAAAAGGGCTACAATACAAGCCTAAAATACTATCTGGTTTAGTATCAAATCTGGAATCCAGAATGGCTGAATGGGGCTGTTGCTGTGCAGCAAAATATGCTGGCTTTAAACTGAAGCAGGGTAGATTTGGATTAGATATAAGGAAGTAAACTTTCACTATTACGTTCCAGTGAGGCACTGGAACAGGTTGCTCAGAGAAGCTGTGGAAGTGCTCAAGGCCAGGTTGGATGGGGCTTCATGGAACCTGGTCTAGTGGAAGCTGTCCCTGACCCCAGCAAGGGGGTTGGAACTAGATGGTCTTTAAAGGTCCCTTCCAAATCAAACAAGACTGTGGGTCTATGATTCTACTACACCTGTAAAAGTTGACAACAGCACACACCTAAAAATTAAAATAATTGGATGAGCACCAGGTTGCACTTTTGAAAGGCTGTAACAGTAGCTCCCACATGAAATGACAAATCAAATGCATCATTTTCTTCTCTCATGCCTTGGAGAAACCACAAATCCCTTCAATCAGAAAATGCAGAGTAAAAGTAATAGCACCTTGTTGTCCATTGTGGCCTGATAACGTGTTTAATGATGTACCTTAAATTTCAACATGGTGCTGAACTGTTACTGTTCACACATCTCCGTTTCCCACTTTACCATAAATAGGGAAGCAGACATGGTAGCACTCCTCTCCCTGCATCAGTGTTTATTTACGTTTTTGGAAGAGCTCTTTTTTGAGTAGCTGAGAAGCCTAAAAGTGGATGTAGTCTATGTGTGACCGAAGGCTGCCCATCGTGCCCTGCTGCACGAAGGGGCTGCTCCGAGAAATCGTGTTCCTTCCTTCCGTCCTCCGCTCCGTCCCCCTTAGCCAGCCGCGCCGGGCTGCCCCCGGGGCAGGGGGAGGCCCGGGGCGGTAATAAAGAGCCGCCTTGGCTCCCGGCGGGCCTGGGTCTGTCCCGGGGGCGGATTTACCAGTAGCTCGGTGATGGCAAATCTTCCCCTTGTCCTGGCGGGGGAGCCAAACGCCTTCGATCTGTAGCCGGGAATGTTGGTGTTTTTGGTTTTTTTTTTTTTTTTTTTTTTTTTTTTCCCCGGCTGTTGTTGCTGCTGGGTTTATTGTTGGGGAAGTAGGAGGCTCATTTGCGAGCTGGTTGCCCAGCCGCAGGCCACGGCTCTACCCCGACATCCCTCCAAATGCACTCCCGCTAAAGACCAGCTAGTTTTTGGAGGATCGCCCTGGGCACGCCGCACACGCACCCTTTTCTCCCTCTAAATTCACACCAATGGTGAGCGGCGGCCCTCTCCCCTATTCCTCTTTTTCCCGTGAGATGCTTTTCCACGCCACGCGGGGCGGGTATTCGCCGGCGCCAGCTGAGGCCCTTCGTCCCGAGCTGCTCCCCACGCACCCTGTCTGTCTGTCTGTCTCCCCGTGCAGAGCTCCGGCAACGCGTCCTACCGATGCTCCATGTCGTCCTCCGCCGATTTCTCCGACGAGGAGGACTTCAGCCAGAGGTCGGGGACGGTGTCGCCGGCGCCGGGGGACACGCTGCCCTGGAACCTGCCCAAACACGAGCGGTCCAAGCGGAAGATCCAGGGCGGCTCGGTGCTGGACCCCGCCGAGCGGGCCGTGCTGCGCATCGCCGGTAAGGCGCGGTCGGGGGCGGCCGGGCAGGGGGCGGCCGGGGACCAGAGGGACCAGACCCCGTCCCTTCTCTTTCAGAGCGCGGCCCCGCCGGGCGGTGACTAAGCTCTTTGGCCGCCTTTTCCGGCTGGGTGAACTGATGCGTGTGGATGGCGAGCCGAAACCCGCGCAGGTGCACCCATTAAACTTTCATGCGAAAAGGCATCAGCGGCCGGGGGCTGCAGCCGCGGCGGGGGGCGGTTCGGCGGGGCCGGCGCTTTTTTCGGCCCACAAGGCCGAGGCAGCCCCCGGCCGCCCTGGGTGGAAGCGGGGACCGCCCGCAGCGCGGGGAGAGGCCCGATGATGCTCCGCGAGGGGCGGGGGAGCAGGCGCCGGTCTTTGTCCGCTCGGGACCGGGGCTGCGCTCGGGGTGGACGGGGACCGGAACGCAGCCTCCCCGGTGTGCCAGAGGCGCCGACGGACGCCCGGCGACAACTGATGTCGAAAATAGGGCGGAGGCCCGCATCACCCTGGCCAAAGCTGGAAAACGCCTGTAAATGAATCCCGGAAAGATGCGGCGGTCCTCAGTGTTCCCTGAGGATACCGCTGTTGCTCTCCCCAGCCACCGCGATTATATATACGCCTCTGTGGGTCCCTCCCGGGACAACATTTCCCAGAGGAACCCATCCTAGCGGCGCCAGCAGCGGGGGCAGCGCTGCGGAGCCGGGCTCCCACCAGCCGCAGGATGCAGCCGCGACTGGGGGGGTTGCGGAGCCGGCCGGCCGCGGATCTCGCCGCCGCCGCCCCCAGCGGGCAGGGTGCGCAGGATGGGGACCAGCGGCAGAGCAGCAGGGACCGCACCGGGGCGGGCCCGGCGGTGGGGTCAGGGCCGGGGGACAGCGGGGGAACGCAGGCGCGGCGGTGACACCTGCGGCGGGGCCGCGCCCGCCCCGCCCCTCCGCCGGGACTGCGGGAGCTCCCGGCCCCGCTGGCTGCCGGCTTGGGGTCCCGCCCCGCTCGGTCCCCGCCCGTGAGCGCAGTGTCCCCACCGGCCCCGTCAGTGCTGCAGGCGTCGCGTCCCCGCCCCGGCAGCCGCCACCCTCCTCGTCGCGGGGGGAGGCGGCGGCAGAGCTGGCCGGCCCCGCAGGCGGTGCCGTGGCCATGGGGCTGGAGCCGGGGTCTGCGACGGGGAGGCGGCGGCTGCCGCCGGGCTGGTGCCGCCCCTCCGCGCTCCGAGGGGCGGCTACCGAAACCCGAGCGGCCGCGGGGGCGTTTCATCGGCCGGGCTGGCAGCGCCGCCCCCCGCCCGCCCCCCGCCGGCTGCTGCCGGGGCTGTTCTTGTGCCATCCGCGGAGCCGTGCGCCCGGAGCCGCACGGGCGGGCAGGGCTGGGCTGGGCTAGCTGCCGGCCATGGCTGGCTACCTCTCCCCCGGCGCGTATTTCTACGCCGAGGAGCAGGAGTACCTGCAAGCCTACGAAGATGTCCTAGAGAGATACAAAGGTAGGGCAGTGCTCCCCGCCGTGCCGCCGCACCCGCCCGGCCGCTCGCCCCGCCGGGTGTGGCGGCTGCGGACCCGGGAGGCGCTGGCGGCCAGGTGGGGAAGATTGGTCCCCGCGTCCCTGCGAGGATCGGTCTGGGGGGAACGGACGTGGGCGGCTTGTGCCATAGATATAAATACCGTGTCACCTCACCAGTGTGTGACAGGCGCTCTGGTGTGTTTAAAAGTCGCTTTTTCGAGTGCAGTGCGGACACAGGGATTTATGTCTTAATATGCATTCGTATTTAAAGCTTCGGTTTATTTTTACCTATTTATTTTCTATTTGGTCTTTTTGGACTAGGGCAAAGAATTAGCTTAGTTTGTGTAGCACCTGAGTTTTTTCATCGAATACAGAAAAATAAGGAAAAACGCATTTATCATGGTGAAGATGCACGCAGCTAAATTAATCCTGCTAGAAATGTAAATTGCATTGATTTCTTAAGAACATCGGGATGGAAAGGATGGTTTGGATGATTCACTGCTGTTTTTCAGTACATTTGCTAGTACTAAATCTGAAGAAGCTTATCAAAAGTGTTGCAGCTCTGATTTTAATCCAAGTGCGAAAGGGATGGAGTTAACTGTTCACACTGAACATTCATCCCTGAAATAGTTCTTACAGCATGCCACAGCATATGCTGACATTTGCAGTACTGAGTCCTTTTGTAATGTTAGGGAATAAGATGTTAGGTTTCATATCTGAAGTTTTTCAGCTGTATGTCTTCAGTCAGTCCTGAAGATTTTTGTTAAATGGTTCCACTGATGGGAATGGGAGTGGCATAGTTTAAGACAGCTTGATTTGAAGATACTGATTATTTTATTTTATTTATTCTATGTTGTTAGTGGCAGTATTTTGAATAATAAACCCTCAACAGATGGTTATTTTGACTATGAGAACTTGTTGGGTCTGAGTGTACTTTATACTGGTATCACTTGCAATTTCATGTGTCATTAGCAGTATTGACTAATGACTCCTTTGTGTCTGTTGCCCATTGTGTCAATGCAGCAATGGAGCATGTGCACCGGTCCTGTATTCAAACGCATTAGTGCATTTTGGTTGAGAAATAATTACCATTTGATGATTGCCATCATCTTCAAAACCATGTCTTGATTCCATTCTCTCCTTTTTTTTTCAAGTCCTCAATTTATATGCAGCTGGTCTGTTTTGTGCAAAATTTTGGAGCTAGTAGGCTGTTTACTTTTTAAATAAACACCGAGAAAGCTTGTTTTTTTGCTTTGGATCACCTTTTATTTCCTGCTAGAATTAGGTTTAATAAGGTTCCTTCTCATACCAATTACTTGCTTAAAAACCTGGGAAAGAAATTAGGCCCAATTTCCCCTGTTTCAATGGGAGTTTTATAAGGAATGGGACTGAAAGGTCTGGTTTTTATAGGTTGGGGAACAATAGGATTTTAATTAAATAAAGTCTGAAAGCTAATTTACATCTCTGTAAGAAATAAACTACTTTCTGAAAGTATTTGAGTGTATCTCGTTGTGGGGATAACACAAAGTCCCTTCATATGCCATTTTCAGTGACCCCTGAATCATGAAATTATTTGGAAGGCTCCAATGTCTGTTATCTTAGTTTTTGGTGTCATATTTTATATATTGGTGTGTTGTGTTTTGCTGCTCAAGATAGATTTTATTCAGCCATTTGGAACAAAGGTAAAGGTTTGGACTTGTTTTAATTAAGATGTATTGGAAATCTGGAAAGCACATTACTTTCTAAAATGTGTTTTCAAGCCAGTCATGATTTCCCATTCGAGTCCCAGTAGTATGACTTCACTACAGCGATTGTTGTTCTGATGACTTGCTATGGGAGCTGATCTAATCAGAAAAGAATTGCTACAATATAGGCTTTGAAAAGGGAGTGCCATTTCTCTGAATTTCTCAGTTTTGTAAACACCTTCTTCAGTAAATTTCTTAATCAAATGTGAACTACGTTGGCTTTATAAGACAAGCTTCAATCTATAATTTAAATGCTGATAGTTCTTTTTTTTTTTTCCTTTTTACAGTCTGCAGAATGTTTCATACTTATCTAGGCCATTATCAGGGTGCCAAATTATCTATGTCCCAGCTGTTGAGTACTGTAACTAGCAGAGTCAGCTGTACAGAATTCATTGCCTGTCTTGGAAGGCTTGGGATTGTATGATGCCACATCATTAAGATGTCCAGGCAGTTTGACTTAGGGAGATAGAAGCTGCCCTTTGTAAACTTAGAAAAGTGAAATTTTACTCTTCCCTCTGTTTCTGTTTTCAAAGTAGGCTGCAGATTTTGAAGATCATGCAATACCAAGTACCTTGTTGTTTTAAAAATTGGAAGCTGGATATTTGTGTGTCTCCAAATTCTGTCTGCTGGTCATGTCTCTGGCTGTGACAGTAAATAATTAGGCAACTGTTTGCTAAATCTGACATAGCACTGAAGTGCTGTTTGCTGTGGGAGAAGGGAGTGTTGTTTTCTGATCCCCGGTTGATGGCTGTCAAATTGTTTTCTTTTTCTTGATTAGTAATTATTTGGCAGTATTTCTAAAGCATTTTGATAGAGGGGAAAAAAGTCACATTATTGCAGATGTTCTATAAATTGGGTTGAATCCAGTTACCTATTCAGGGGAGAAAATTTCTTAATTGTTGGTAGCACCTCTAAGAATTCAAAGGCAAACCCTTTATTATGAGAACGGCAATAAAACGTCTAGTATAGTTTATCTGAAGTATTTTACATCTTTCACAGCTTGCTTATGACTGAATGGTAATATGAGAAATCATACAAATATTTGTTAATGTAATTAAGATTCAACATTTTCTCGAAAATTGTATTTGAGTTCTCTGGGAGGTTGTAAAGAACTTCGAAAATTCTTGGTGCTCTGTAAGTTACCTCACAGTTGCCTGGGAACAAAATGTAATGAAATTGTTAGCTGTAGCCTTTTTGATAAATATGAAAATGTGCAATAGTATTTAATATACTTTTCATTTTTAAGGCATTAAATGCCATCTCTATCATATGCCATAGGAATGCATTGTTCAGTGCCATTATTATTTGAGCATTAAATATCTGAAGATGATGATTTTAAGCTGTGAGTGCAGTCCATTCATTGGATGTCTTCTGATATAAATCTGAAGTAATAAACTGAGAATCAAGTTTATATATATAAATATATCATCCCTCTGAAATGGTCGTTCTTTAATGTATTTTTCAGTTCAGGTAGTAAACTTTTATTTGAATAGCAGTTGCAACAACCCTCTTCTGAAAGATTTTGAAGTTATGTTATTAAGTTGTCTCCATTTTGACATAATTTTTGATAGGGTATATCTGTTAATGACAGTGTGACTGCAGTACCTGGAAGAGAGCTAATGGACTAAAGTGTTGAATAAATCATAGTTATTCAACAATGTTCTTTAACTATGTAAGCCCTTAAAGTTTGAAATACATGGGGTTATCTGGGCTGTGCAGAGCTTTTAATGCTATAGATTTATACATCTACAGGAACCAG